GGAAAATTCTATATTTATAAAATTTAAATAACTTTTTTTACAAAAATAGTGTAACAAAACTATTACTATAAATAAATGAATCTTCAACACCATTTTGTTTTAAAATAAATGATCTATAATAAAACATATCATATACTATTAAAATTATGTATGAATTTTTTTATTTGTATAATATTTTTATATTTTCATTAAAAGATTCAAAAAAGGACAAAACGCACTGTGGAGAGCACGTGGTTGAACGCATGGGCTTTTTTATTTATCTATCCATGGGACCACACTATTACTTTCAAATGGTTGTCCAATGTCTGGACATAGGGTTATTCTAACTGTTTAATTTGTTCAATTTGAGTCGACTTATTTATAAATAGATAATTTTACAGACATAATATTGGTGAATATGATTTAAAATATGACATTATTGTGAGTTACAGGTTTTATTCACACCCGCAAGAATTCGCCCGCATTAGTTTTTTTTTTAATAAAAACCTGACTTGTTAATTTTATTCATCCTATTCTAGATATTTTTGCCCAACAAACATATGCATTTTAAAAGGTAGATGTGATTCATGATAGAATTTGTGTGTTTATAAATATTTTTATTTTATTTAATAGGTTTGAATCAGATGAAATTTGATAACAATTTATTGTTATTTTATTATTACATTTTGAATTAATGTAAAAGTTAATGATAAATTACTTTTAGATAAGTTTAAGATTTTGAATGATTTTACTTTAATTATATTATTGGGGAGTGAATGATTTTGATAATTTAGCTTAGGATTTTAAAAGATGTGCTTGTGTTAGCCTTTATTTGAGATGTAAGTTGACTTTTTGACTATTTTAACTTGAAGCTAAAAATCCTCATTTTGGATGAATTTTTTAGTTTTTTTTACTTTTGTAAAAAAAAAAATGAAATGGTCATGGTTTTGATGTGACATTTTGTCTTATTGGATTAAAAAGCCTATGTTATTTTTTGTGTGGTTAAAATAGCCTCAACCCAAGCCAAACCTTCATGTCAAACGAACTTTTATGATTTTATTTAAAAGTTTAGAATTTTGAATGATTTTCTTGTATTAGAAATTGATTTTGTTGTGTTTTTAATTTTATAAGTTTTAATTCATTAATTATAAATGTTGAGCATTTTAGAAAATGGGGAGAAAATTATCCAAAATAATTATTTACAAAACGGAAAAAAAAAAGACATAAAAATAAATTTTTAAAGAAAAAATTCAATCCCCAAACCATCCGCAACTGCCCGCACATTCGTGAACCCTATCCCACAAATTGCAAGCTACACTGTAGGCGATTGTGGGTTCAATTTTTTCCAAACCGCACATATACGAACAAGTCCAAACCGCAAATAAAAAACCAAACCGCAAACACCCCTAGGTCTTCCTTCCAAAAAAATTTTCTTTCCATACCAGATTTTAATTTTTTTAAAATGATAAATTACATTTTTTTGAACGCAATGATAAATTACATTCACTTCATATTTTTTATTGAGAAAATTATTAAAAAATTCAACGTGTATAAGATATTAGATTTAGTAAATATTTTTTAGATAAATTATGTAAATAGTCTCTGTAGTTTACACAATGTGTCAATTTGGTCCTTGTAGTTTCAATTTGCTCAATTTTACCCTTAATTTAACGGATTGTGTCCTTTTAATCCAATAAATAACGGTTGTTAAGTTAGTTTAACGGAATGTCAAATAATGTGTCAATTTGGTCTATGTACTTTACACGATGTGTCAATTTAGTCCCTTTAATTTCAATTTTCTCGATTTTGACAGGGTTTAAATTGACATATTATGAAAAATACAGGGACCAAATTGACACATTGTTTGACTTTCTGTTAAATTAACTTAACAACCGTTATTTATTGAACTAAAATGACACAATCCGTTAAATTAAGAGGTAAAATCGAGCAAATTGAAACTACATGAACCAAATTGACACATCGTGTAAATTACAAGAACTATTTACATAATTTTCTCATATTTTTTTATTAGTGAGAATTTCATCTTTTATAAAATAGTTTGATGAGAAATCAATTTTTATGTTTTGAAAGATATTTTATTTTCAATTTTATTCCTTAATTTATCTATTAATTTTTTTGACTATCTATTTAAATTATTTTCTATTTATTAAATTTATATCTATCTGTTTAAATTTTTTAACTATCTGTTCAAATTCATATCTATTTATTCAAATTATTTTCTATCGGTTTAAATTTATATCTATCTATTCAAATTTTATAACTATTTATTCAATTTTTTTCCCTTATCTATTCAAATATTTGTCCAAATTCTATTATTTGTTTAACTTTATTCCTGAATTAATTGTCTGTTCATTTTTTTAAATTTTTTTTTATATGTTGATATTTTAATTGTCTGTTCATTTTTTTTAATTTTTTTTTTTATATGTTGAAATATCAAGCCAAACCAAATCCTATTTGTTGAAATAGATAGCCAATTCTTCTTCTTTATCATCATCATCACCATCATCATCAACAACAAAACACACACACACACACACACACACACACACACACACAAAACCACACAACATTCGCTTGAGATCTCTAGATGAGAGACATCAGATCGATGCAAAAAATAAAAAATAAAGATTGAGAAGTCCATCTCTATCTCCATATCAGTACAATCTCCAGATCTGATATCTTTGTCGACCTGTGTAGATAGTATAAGTTAACACACTTAATATATCGCGATTTCTCATTATTCAATAATACCACCATGTGACCAGCATAATTTGAAGCATCCATTAGTGATTGTATCAAAATACAATTCAACAAGCACAGTAACAGAGAGCAAAGAACAAGTAGCATCTGCTGTTAAACTAGCTCAAAAGCTAATTTCAGATCTCACATAAAAACTACCAAAAACCTATACCATGAAATATATAATATAGCTTATTTATCTCCCAATTTCGTTACCGGAAATCGCATCTGTACATGCATTCCCTGTAAGCCTAAAAACTAAAGCCAGAATCAGAAGGATTTCTTCCTGTCCATGAACATACAGTACAGTGATAACCCTTGTTTCATAAGATGCTGCAAAAACAAGTCGCTGAGTTTTGAGATGTTCAAGTTCGGTTTGATAAAAATTATTCAAACTAGAGCTTGAATTGTGCTTAAATAATTGAAATTGAGCTTGACTCATCAAGTAGAAGAGCTCAAGCTTGAAAAATAAAATAAAATAAATGACAAAAAAAATTAATTTAATATGCACATTTAAAATTAAAAATAAAAAGGTTATGAGCAAATATAAAATAATCCTCATATTCTTCTCTCTTTTTTCTTTTTTTTTTGGATAAATAAGAGAACTTTATTAAAGCAACATCAAGATGATATAAAGAATATAAAATTGAGCCAACAAAAAACTAGCAAATGATAAGCAGAACCAAAAACAAATCCAACCCACTAACTAAGCAAGTCCTCTACAAATCTACAAAAGTCGGCACATCAAGATCCACTGAGAAATAGAGAGTAGATCATGCAAACCATCCTGCATAAATTTCGGCCTCGAACCAGTGTAATCCCAATGTCCTCCCCTGAAATTTATAACTCTTGGAAAAATACGAGTTTATAAGCTTATTTTAGATTAACTTTAAGCCTAAATTTAAGTAAACACATATCTTTTGGGGTGGGTTTAAAAAAGTGACGTGTTCCTTCCCACGTGGTGAGTTACACGGTGCAAACGATTCGTCAAAACCATTTATAAATGAATAGATACTTGACGTCATTTTCGGTTTTGTGAAATGGGCAAATTAAAGAATAAAATTTAAATTTTCTTGTAAGGCTTGTCCCACATTAAAACTTTAAAAGAACTTATATGTGTATGTAAATTCTAAGTGGCAACACTTGAATTGGGTCTCAAGTTTGTAGAAGGGAAGAGTTATGGACAAATTAAACCTTAGTTCAAACCACCACACGGGCGCCGCCGCCGTGCCGGGCGCAATTGTGAGTGTGTGTTGTGAGTCGAGTCAATTCTAACATTAATTTTTTAGATAAAATTTATTTAAATTTTTTCTAAAAATTCTTGCGGGAGAGTTAATTTTCCTAGACAAAATTAATTCAAATTTGAATTCAATTTTAATTTTAAACTGTTCATAACAGTGCCTTTCTAGTCCAATTCCAGCCAATTCAAACTGTTTGTAATTGTAATAGTTATAAAACTGCCAGCAGTTTGAACAGGTTCAAAACTGCCAGCAGATCTGTCCAGTTTGAATTCTGCACCTGTTCACTTCAATTTGTACCTGTTCAGACAGATTGAATGGTCACCAAGTTGCCTATAAATAAAGACTCATTTCCAGCAATCAAAACATCTTGAAAAATCTGAAATTGTCTTGGTTTCCTTCTAGTTTTTGTTCTCTTGCATCAATTTGTTCTTCATATTATTTTAGAAAAAATTTAGAAGGTATTGAACATAGGTTTTTGTTCGCCGTACAAATTGTTTAAAGAGCTACTACAATTTGTAAAAATCATTATATCCTCGAAGATAGACGCCATTTATCCGTAAGCACTGTAGCGAAGCGAATCTGTCTTAAGGACAGAGTGTCATACACTCGACTTAATATTTCTGTACTTCCACATTTTGGTAAAATGAATTCTGTAAGTAATTTACTTTTATTTGTTTGATTTGTTTCAAGTTATTTATTTTATAGAGGAACATTGTTCCAACAATAACACCTCCAACAACCAACAAAAAAACTGATATTTTCCCTGAATGCACAATCTCAGGCAACAATAACCAGAAGGACACGTAGAGCAGCTTAGGCATACTTTAGAAATTCTCTAACTGCTTAGCATAACAGGTAAGCATAATTTTCAAGTATCATGCCAAGATATTTTACTTGTCAACTGGTTCTTTTACATGTGTTCAGCAAAGATATAACATGTGTAAGTCGACACTAGCTTGTAAGTCACAAGAACATTGTAAACAAAAAGTCATTCAACAACAATAGTAAAACACAAGTTTGTTTTGAATAATTCCCATATGCTAGTAACTGATGAACAACCAGATATTATTTTCATTACAAAATAAGCTTGATCAAAATGCACAAACACAGGTAATTAAGGCAATATCAAATGAGAAAATTACACAATATACCACCAATTGAAGGGTGCATGTACTGAAATCAAAAACATTAAACCTGTCCGTAACCTTAATTCCTACCTTGGAATTACTAATTCTATAATTTTATCATTCATCTCGTCAAACATAATACAGTTAACCACCTGAAAATCACAATTCGAATTCATCTTCAAGCTTCAGTGCCTCGGCAGCAGCTTCCTCCTCCTCATCATCAAGCGCAAAATAAGGGTTATGAACCTTTGGCCTGAAATTGTACCCAGTGAATGCATAAAAGGCAAGGGTCACCAATTCAGCAGCTACCACACTCGTCCACTGATACTGATACGAGGTAATAGTCTCGAGAGCATAAACAATGACCCGGGTGAAGTAAATGTAACAGATAACAACAATGTAGTATTGTCTAAACAAAGTCAACTTCATCAAGTTCACCGCAGCCTTGCCATCAGTCCTAGCCGCCTCACGCAAGTTCTTAATCGACCATACAATGGGGAACAAAACAGCACAACAGCAAATAACATCCACAAGCAAGAAAACTTGCTTCCAAGCATTAAAATCATGGCCGAAGGGGCCCGTCTCGTCTATGACAACCTGAGCCACATTGGCTATGACTTGTAAAGGAACCACAATCATCAAAACCTTCTTTTCCTTATCTTGCAAGTAGGGTTTCAAAAAAGACCAACCAGTCCCAATCAAGACAATCAAAGTAAAGAGAGTAATTCCCTTCAAGAAACTAAAAATGTAAAACAGCACATCCCAACCATGAGCAGTACCAGTCCTTTTAATATAGGATTTATCCTCAGTTTCACACAAGAGATTCAAAGCTTTCAAAATCAAGACAGAGAGCATGAAGAAATGGATACGATAAGCAGACAATCGCTTATTGTAGAGAACGTAAGTCCAAATTCCAGCCATACAAGAGTAAATCAAGAAAAAGGAGAAGTAAATCAAAGGGAGATTAGTTTTACCAGCGGACAAGTAGTCGCGGCTATTGGACTTGGAGTCGATGTTGTACATTTCAGATCGAACATTCATGGAGATTTTGAGATCGGGGACACAATTGCCGAAGAGGAGAGTTAATTGATTGGGATTGGTGACATTGATTTTGGAGAAGTAAGATTCGGAGGATTGGAGTTTGTCAAAGGTGAAGACGACTTTGATGAAATCGGATTTGAGAGGGCATTTGAGATCACCGTCGGCGATCTGTTCGAGGACGTGAAGCCAGGAATCGCGAGAGGAGAGGAAGAAACCGATTTGGGAGAGATCAGTGTTGGGGTTTTTGAGGGTTTGATCATCGAATGAGATTTGGGTTACGGTCAGTTCGAGGGAGCCGGTGTGAGTGAAGCCGAACTCGTCCAAGGGGATGGTGGAGCGGCTGTCCGACCGGATCTCGGAGAATCGGATTTCGGCGACGGTGGTTGTGATGAGGAAGAAGAGGACACAGATGAGGGATCCAAGGGAAGCCATTGTTGCAAGCAGACAGATGATTCAACTCTCTCTCTCTCTGGCTCTTCGCTCTTAATTTGATTGAATGAGATGAGAGGCTAGCTAGGCTGCCGACGACTGGAATAGAGAGAGCGAGAGCAGGGTCAAGTCAAGAAGGGAGATTTTTTTTTTTGTGCTTAGGGGTTACGGTGGAAAGATATTTTAGATTAGAAAGGTCGTCTGCAAGGAAGGTTCGAGTGAGTACGGTTGTTTTTTTTTTATCTTGGAAACACCGGAGCCTTTTGGAGCTAAATACAAAGACTTGAAGACTTTGACTCCGTTTGGCAAGAAAGCTTGAGTTATTTTAATTATAAAAGATAAAATGTATTATTTTAGACATAATAAATAAAATATCATATATAATTCATAATTATTGTATTTTTTAAAAAAAAAAATTAAAAAAGTTAAAAAATCAAAAAAAAAATTTCAAATAACTAAAAAAGTCAAAAAGTCAACTCACTTTCCAAACAGAGACTTTATAACCCTGTTTGATTATAAGATATAAATGGTGGGATTAGATATTATATTTTGCCTACGTTTGGAAAGAAAATTTTGGGGCTTTTTTTGGCTATTTTAGCCACAAAAGACAAAATAGGTTATTTTAGCCACAAAAAACAAAACATCACATCTAACCCATAATCATTACACTCTTCTCTCACAAAAAAAGTCAAAAAAGCCAAAAAGCCAAAAAACCCTTCCCAAACCAAGCTTTTTAGCCCAGGCTAAAATAGCCAAAAAAGCCAAAAAGCCAACCCACTTCCCAAACGTAGGCTTTGTGAGATTCACATATTTTCTGTTTGTAATTTTTTTCAAAGAGGATACATGGGATTGTATATCCCTCAAAAGTGGAGGATATACAATACTACCACCCCCATTATATTATATCCTCTTGGTTAAGATATGGTTTAAAAAGTCCAATTTACTCTTTTGTATATCTAACATAATATAATTTAATATATTTTTTGAATTTAATATAATATAAATATTATTTAATTTAATATAATATAATTTAATACAAATTTTGAATTTAATAATATAATATTATTGAATTTAATTTAATATAAATTTTGAATTTAATATAATATAATTATTGAATTTAATATAATATAATATTATTTAATATAAATTTTGAATTTAATTTAATTTAATTAATATAATATAATATTATGAGGGTAATCTTAGAAATTATTTGTTTATATCTCACAATATATTTTGTAAAACAAACATGGATAATATATATTCAATCTTATATATCAAGTCAACAAACATGACTTGGGGGATATATTATCCAATACCTATATCCTATTTATTATATATCCTGACTAAATTCCACATCATATTATATTCTCTATTTTATATCCAGTGAAACAAACAGGGCCTATGGCTTTGGCCATTGTCATTCGGTCGGAGAAGGCCTGTCACGACCCGCTCCCCGTACCCAAGAGTTAAGTATCGTGATGGCCAGTAACTGAAGTTACCTAAGGCCAATTCTTAAACAAATCAATAAACACAAGCGGAAGAAATATTTAAATAAGGGTACCAAAATAATCATTGGAGCTTCTATTTTTATTACAAAATTTATTGACTAAAAATGTCGATATTTACATAGAAAAATATCAACAAAAGTGTTGTGTGTGTCTATTTCGCAGCCCCGCATCTAAGACTTTCCACAAGCTATTTCTGAATTGTGTTGTTTCCTAAAAATTGGTAAAAAACTATAAGCACATGACAGAGTGAGAAATATTATACCAAGAGTATAAGGGACACGAAATAACCATGGATAGTTATGTAACCAAAACATTTACATAAACAAATCATTTGAGTAGCAAAAATCATTTAAGTAGCAGAAACTGAAATACAGATATTATATAAATAGATAACCATAACCACGGTACAGAACAAAACAGAACAGAACAGCACAGAGGTCACAGAAGTGACAGTCAAAACAGAGGTACGGATTCAAGAGGTGGCTCGTACGGATTCTAGAGGTGGCTCCAACAAGAATGTAGCACTTAGCTCTGCACAGCACTTTGGTCCGCACAGAACAGAGGTACGGATTCAAGAGGTGGCTCGTACGGATTCTAGAGGTGGCTCCCACAATAGTGTAGCACTTAGCTCCGCACAGCACTTTGGTCCGCACAGACCAGAGGTCAATGGATCAAAGGATCACAAAGTAATCAAACAGAGGCCATTGGTTATTTAAGTCCCCCAAGGCATGAGACTCCCGTGGTGGTACTTACAAAACTTAATTGTATATGAGGTCATAGTCAAATATTCTTTAAAATACAAACAAACATATCCATGGGTTTCCTTTTCAGAAATAGGGCTCAGAAATTAAACCGTGTAACTAAAATTTTTATAAAACATAACTTTTATTAATATATTAATAAAACATAACTTGTATAAAACAGATTTTGGTAAGTCAAAACATACGTAAAATATATTTTGGTGACTCAAGGTATAATATAACTCACATTAACTTTAGTACCTTACTCTTTCTTTCCACTTTCAAAGACCCTTTTAACTTCCACTATTTTCTCTTTCTTTCCTCTGTTTCTTTCCTTTCCTTTCCTTTCTCTCTTTCTTTTCTTTCAACTCCTCCCTAGGAAGGAGGAAGCCATAGGCACTCAACACGTGGCAAGACGTCGCTTTCACTCAAATTTAGGCCTAGTTTGGAAAGATTGAAAAAAGGCAAAAGGTCAAAAAGTCACTATCCTATTTAAGTCACATCATCTTATTTAAATCACATCACCTCTCTAATACATCACTTCAAACCCAACCCAAACCCAACCCATATTTCATAAAAAGTTAAAAAGTGTACTTATTTAGTCTTCCCAAACTAGGCCTTAATTCATAATTATATAGATTGAATCTTATCCTTAATAGATATTTAAGATAATTATCTTTTGACCCAATATTTTAATATAATTATATAAATAAAATAATTTCTAATTAAATTACACTTTATCATATATCAACAGAAAATAAATTATTTATTTATATTTTGACTCTTAAAATTATATTATTTTATAAAATTACACATAATAATATATAATAAATTATGTATTTTCCGAACTGAGATTAAATAATATTAGTATAAATTCTACAGAATAATTAAAAAGCTAGGTTGTTACCGGCTATGGCCTATAGGGAGGTTGTTTTTTATACCAATACTAATGAAGAAAACAAAATATCAAGACCCAAAATAGTCTCCCTTGAAATTTAAAAAATAATAAATTATAAATACATTATTTAAGATTTGATTAAAATATAAATCGCTTTTTATAGTTTTAAAAATTATATTTCAGCCTCTGAGATTTCTAATGTTATAACAAATCGACATTTTTATTAATAAATTATCAAATTAATTAATATTTTTTAATGATGTTAGAAATATGTTTCAATTAATAATTTAAGTAATTTTTTTATTGTATATGAGAGTAATTATGAATTTCATTTTTTTAGTTAATTTTGTTAAATAAAAAATATTAACAATGAGGTATTTGTCATTTTTCAAATCACAGAGGGCAATCTATAATTTAAGCAAACCTCAGGAGGTGTATTTGTAGTTAAGTTGATTAGAATAAGGAAAATGTTAGAGGCTCCAAAATTTTAGTTAAATGTTTTATCAAATGTCTCACGTGCATGTAGACCCCACACTTATGTGGGACTCATTTCATGTGAGACATTTGATAAAATATTTGGTAAAAAAAAAATGAGACACTTATTTAATTTAAATGAGTATGTTATTTGATTTTTAATATTTAGTAAAATATTAAAAATCAAATATTTGATAAAATATTTTGTAAAATATTTGAAACACTTATTTAATTTAAATAAGTATGTTATTTGATTTTTTTTTTTTTTGTGTATTTTTTTTTTTTTTTTTTTTGTGTATATAAGAAGATATGTAAAAAAAATTAGAGAGATTATCTGATCTATATAAATGTACTTATCAAAATAAGTGTGCTTTTTTCTTTTTTTTTTGAGGACTAAAGCAGCTTAGAGATTGCATTAATTATCAGAAGCAATTCTTACAGAAGTTGCAAGAGAATGAGCAGAGTGTACCTCGGCTCTGTCTACTTTTTCTAGGACAACATGTACAAATTTTTTAGAGCATAACAAAATATCACTCAAAAGAGAGTGAAGCTGCCAATCACTATGTTGATTAGAGGTATGCAGAAGTTGCACCAAAACCAGGCAATCGGTTTGCAAGAGGAGACACTGGATACCTTGCTTGGGATGCCCAATGCATTGCATGGAGAACCGAAGCAGCCTCTGCTTGTTGAGGAGAGAGTATAGGGGGCCCCAAAATGGCTTCATGCTTGACAATGTGGTTATCGGCATCCAGCCAAACCCAAGCCAACCCAGTTCTATCCGTAACCAAGATCCAAGACCCATTGACAACAATCTGTTGTTGCGGAAAATCTGCAAGGGAAAAGGCAGCATTCTGCAAAACAATTTGTGTATCAGTGGGCCGTAGAGCAGCAAAAACAGCAGATGACATGTTATCAGGAACATAAGGGTATGGTGACAGAAAGGTGAATAACAAGTCCCGAGCTGTGGCTAATGTATGCGCAATGGACACAACTTCAGACCGAAATTCAACCGAATTACGCTGCAACCAGATGGCCCATAATAAGGCAATGGAATGAACTAAAATCTCAACATTTGTAATTTGCTCCACCCAATTCTTGAACCAGGAGGAGAAGGATAAAGGGATTCCCACTCCAAAATCTAATCCCAATACAGACCCATGCCAAACCCGGTGAGAAAAGGGACAGTCAAAAAATAGATGTTCAATAGTTTCCTCAGATTCGGAGCAGCGGGAGCAAAGAGGTTCAACATTGAGCCCTCGTTTCTTGAGTTCGTGCTTAACTGGGAGAATATTGTGTAGACATTTCCACAAAAATAAGGTCCATTTGGGAGGGATCTTTAAGTGTCATAATTTTTTCCAGAGTGACCAATCCGGATCAGGCCTACAATAGTCCGGGAACTGTCGCATTAAGGCCTGCTTGTAACCTGATTTAACTGAATATTGGCCGTGTTTCAATGGGCTCCAAACAAGTTTATCCTCAAGCGCCTCATGTAGAATGTGAATTGATAAAATGTGAGGTATAACATGGGCAGGAAAAAACACATTTAATAAATCCAGTCGCCAAGAATAAGATGAGGGATCAATGAAATGTTCTAGCCGCATTACAGGACAAAGAT